GTGCCAGATATATAATTCTTGGTTGGAAATTTTATTCTTTCAGAGTTTTATATATACCATCCCATTGCCTTCTTGCTTGCATAGTTTTTGCTGAGAAATCAGAGCTTATTCTTACTCATTGTCCTTTGTAGGTAACTTTTCGTCTTTCCCACGTTACTTTCAGGATTCTTTGTGTTTGGTTTTGGTGAGTTTGATGATGATATGTCTTGGTGATTTTCTTTTGGGGTATGTCCTCTTTGGGGTTTGTTGGACTTCCTGAATGGATATATTCTCATCTTTCATATCAGGGACATTCTCTTCCAAGAAATCTTGGACAATTTTCTCAGTGGTTTACTTTTTCTTGTCCTGTTTTGGAATTTCGATTACAAGTAGGTTATTCCTTTTGATGGATTCCCACAGGAACCTTAGGATTTTTTCATTTTGTTTTGCTATTTTTTCTGATTGATCCCTTTCTAAAGAAGTATTCAGGTATTTGTCATCAATCTTAATTCTTTCTTCCATTGATTTGATTCTATTTCTGAAAATTTAATATTAATCTTCTGAATTTCTATCTGTAGATTTTGTATCATTTCTAATTTTTTATTTTGTCATTTTGTTCTTGTATTTTCTTCTAAGGTGTTCCAGGGTTGTTTTTTTTTTGTGTGTTTTCCTTAATTTTATCAGTGCTTTCCTTGATTGTCCCTCAATCCTTTGACAATACCTAAGTATAGTTCTTTTGAATTCCATATTGTTGTTGTTGTTGTTGTTGTTGTTATGTGCCGTCGAGTCGGCCCCGACTCATAGCGACCCCTCCTTGGGTTTCCGAGGCAGTTATCACTACGGAAGTAGGATTGCCCAACCTTCCTTCCGAGGAGTGGCTGGTGGGTTTGAACCGCCAGCCGTCTGGTTAGCAGGCAAGTGTCTTAGCCACTATGCTACCAGAGCTCCCGAATTCCATATTAGGGAGTTCCAATTCTACTTCTTCCTCAGGGATGTGTTCTGGGTCTATATCCTGCCTCCTTGTTTCTACCACTTTATTGTGCCTCTTTGTGTGAACTGTGATGTTGTCTCTGAGACTTTATGACACTGTTGTATTTAGATCTCTGTTAACTGTTTGTGAAGAGCAGTTAAGGGTAAGTCAGGCTCTTCTTGGTCATTTATGGTTGGCCAGTTGGTGGAGAGGGAAGCGGTGGCTCTCACTCAGTAATTAGAGCTACAGGAGTTGCAGGTGTGGTTGTATTGTATCAGCATGGTTGCCATCTCCCACTCAGTTAAACAAAAGCAACAATTGAAAATCCATAAAAAAAGTAAAAGCAAGCAGACATAAAACACACCACATAAACAAACAGGAACAATCATCAAAAAAGGAAAAAAAAAAAAAAACAAAAAACCCTGCAATATCCGGGGAGGGGCAATAAGAGAAAAGAGGTTGAGCAGGAGAATAATTAAGGAAAAAAAGGGGATAAATGCAAAAAGAAATACAAGGAATGGGGTTAACCATGAGAAAGAAAAAAAAAAATGGGAATGAGGAACAGGGAAAAGAAAAAAAGCTGAAAACTAGAACTTGGGAGGGGCAGAATAAAGAATAACAATAAAAGGACCAAAAAATAATAATAGCGATAATTTTAAAAGATAAAAAGAAATAAATTTTTTAAAAAAGGAAAAAAAATCTAGGCAGGGTGGGGCAGGGCACCCAGGCTCCATCAGAGCACATAGACTGGGATGGAATTCCTACAGGTCCAGAAGGTGGGTGAGAGTGAGAGACGGCGGCACCTCCATTCACCAAGAGGGTGTGGGGTATAAGAGTAACAAGGGGAATATCACATCTTTCCAGTCGTTTGTGTCTGGAATTTCCTTGCAGTTCTCGGCAAGTGGAGCCTATTCTTAGATCCCTGGAATCTGAGAGAATGCTGTTGCTTTAAATATGCAAAATGGTCGAACCACTTGTAAACATTCAAAATGGCTGTGCCCTCCAGACAGGCAAAAGTCCACAGCTCACCTCGTCTCCCTCTTCGCTGCTTCCCCATTTATTCACCAGCCACCACTGCTGTCTTCTGTGCAGTCCCTGGCTAGCAGGGCTGATTTTTGGGTTAATTCTTAGGTCTTTACACCACTTGGAAACAGCCAAGCTGTCTGTGCCATCAGGATCACTGACAGATCGCAGCTCTGTATGTTTTCTTTTTTGAGGTTTTCATGCAGGTTCTTCTATAGTTGGAGTTTAGTCCACTTCTGTATCCTTCCTTTCAAAACTCAAGTCTCTAGGATTATCTTCTGTATCTGTGTTAACTGGTTCCCCTTTTCTTTGTTTAAGAGTGTCTGAGTAGTTTGTCTGCCTATGCTGCCATCTTGCCAGAATTCCTTTTACTTTTACATTTTTTTAATGTGGAAAATTCAATATTACATGTGGCTTGCATTTTTTTTCTATTGGAAAGGGCTAGAGGCCAAGCAGAGAAAATACCCTTTATTATAAAGCCATCAATATCCTCAGGTAGACAAAACAAGCTACTATATGCAATTAAAAAGAAAGAAAGCTAGAAAGGGAGCATTCAAAGAACCAGGGATCTTAGAAATTAAAACATCATAGCAGAAGTGAAATAATCAATAGCAGAATTAGAAGATAAAGCTGAGGAAATCACTTAGAAAGAAATGAGTAACAGAGCAAAAGCAGGGGACCTAAAGAACCAGTCTAAGTGGTCCAATATCCAAATACAAGTTCCAGAAAGAAAGTACAGCGAAAACAGAGGGGAAAAAATGAGCAATAAAATGAAGAAAATTTCCAAGAACAAAAAGGATGAGACTGATAAGAGCCCACAGAGCTCCCAGAACAGTGGACAAAAGTACTCCCATATTAAGGGACATGACTGAAATTTTAGAACAATGGGGAGAAAAAGAAGATTCTACAAGTTTTCAGGGAGAAAACAAAAGGCCATATAGAAAGAAATAAGAAAAAGAAGAATTTCAGGTTTCAGAGAACAAAAAATAATGCCTTCTAAATCCTGAAAGAAGCTCTAATGGCATGGCAGTTAAAGCATTCAGCTGCTAACCAAAATTTTGGTGGTTCAAACCCAACAGCTGCTCTGAGGGAGAAAGATGAAGCATTCAGTTTCCATAAATAGAAACCGTACGGGGTAGTTCTGCTCTGTCCTGTAGGGTTGCTGTGAGTTGGAATCAACTTGATGGCAATGGGTTTTGTTTTTTCAGTTGGTCTAAATCCTGAAGGAAAATAATTTCCAGAATAGAATACTATAATCTTCCACATTATCTACACTACTATATTTCAATTCAAGAGACTAAAATTAAGATATTTACAGATACACTAAGTTTAAAATATTTACTCTAATTCTAACTTATTCAAGGACTGGCATGATCAAAACAGGAGAATAAACTAAAAACGAGGAAGACATAGGACACTGAAAACAGATATTCTCTCACAAAAGGGAGGTAAGTGGAGAAGGGAGATCCCAGGATGGCAGCTATTCACCAGAGTTAAAAGGATCCCGATTGGAGTAACAATGTTCAGACATGAGACATCAACATGCGGAGGACCATCATCAACTAAGATGCTGTCTGCAATTATATCCTTTTTTTTTTTTTTAACTGAGGACAGAATGCCAGCTAGGCTTGGCCCAGAATCCTTTTTTTACTTGGTTCACTTTGATAGTATGCTGCTTAAGGTCTTGCAACCTATGCATGAGCTGCTGTCTAGAGGCGTAAGGCCATTTCTTTCACCCTACGGAAGTGTCTTCCTCAGACCTACTCCTGCAAACTGCAGGCACAATGGTGAGCCCACTTCCCTGACAACACTCCTGCTGGACTTCTACTACTTAACTTGTAGAATGGCCCTGCCTGATGCCCCAAATATGGTGAACCTTGTTCCCAGGGTACATTCCCACTGGCCTCTTAGGATGGCTATTTTAAAATTTAAACAAAGGTAAAGGTAGACTATGACTGTTCTGGCTACCTAGTGCTACTCTGACAAGAATATACCACAAATGGGATGGCCTTAATAAACAGTTTATTCTCTTACAATTTGGAGACTCTAAGTCCAAGTTCAAAATGCCAGGCTCTAGGATCTGGGGTGAAAGCCCCTCAACATTGGGGTCCAGCTCTGCCTCCTGCTCCTGACCCACTGAAGCTAGAGAGGCATTTCTTCACTCAGACAGCTGCTGGCTGCTGAGGCTGACAAACCCGAGGTTGACAAGTAAAAAGGCACAGTCCTGATGTTACCAAACCACATGGCAGGCCATTAATTTAAGTCCATTTTAAGTCCCAAGGTCGGCAGAGCATGGCAGGCTGCTGAATGACACGGCTACACGCCGGGTCTAAGCATAAACTAGAGACCATTCCCCAAGGCTTCTGCTTATATACAGGAAGCAGACCACATACCCAAAGGCAGCTACTCAACTGCTTGTGGCAGATCCCACCATAGAGTTGATTGCCAGTCTCATTATGGAGAATAACTGCCACCAGCTGCCCAGCCACTCAACCAGGCCCAGCCAAGTTGACACACCAGCTGTGCTACCACAATGACCTATTTATCAAAGCCTTCATTGAACAGTATCAATACTGGCTTTTCCTTACACAGCCAGATTCATGTTTCCTGCTCAGTTTTCCAAAGTTTAAGGATACTGTTTAAGAATAAAGAACCAGTATTAACATGATTAAGAAAAGAGAGGGAGTGATGAATATAGGAATAACTCTGCAGTGAAGCTGGGGGCTACAAGTGGGGAAGGGAACACAGAGGTCTGCTATCAGGTATAGTAACGCTCCATTTCCTTATGCTGAGTGACGGGAAAATGAGCGTGTGCTGTTATTCTTCTTTAAACTATGCAAAGATAGTTTATAACTTGTTGATACATATACTGATAATCAGAGAGATATCAGTAAGTTCTATGCCAAATAGAAAATATCTGTATGACACATTTAATGAAAAAATATGTATGACACATTTTACCAGCAAAATACGAACCATAATTTTGTTCTTTTCTATTTGGTGGTAGGTCTTAAAATAGAAACTTTACCTGTCGAAGGTATGCTTTCAAGACTTCACAGATATCATGTGAACTAAATTCGGAAATGTCTACCAAGTACATTCCATTTTCCAAAGCTTGGCACAGTTTTTCAGTCTTTATTTTGTTTCCAGATACACGATAAATTCCCTGGAGCAGAAAAAAAAGTTTGCAAAATTCTGTTTTAGTACAAATTACTAAATGCAGACATCTAAATATATTTGATGTGTCTACTTCAATTTTTATTAGTATTTCAGGAAAAAAATAAACACTAGTCAAGACCAAATTTGAGGCAATATTTTCCAGATAAATTTAGTTACTGATTAAAAATCAAGATCCTTTTTTTCTCCTTTAAAATCCTCTTTTCATTAGAACATATTACACAGTCATTTATGTTTTTAGATTTAATTTTAAGAGTTAAAATGCACCTGAAGACACAAGGCTCTATTTTCAATTTCTGAGGCACAAATTTTGAGAATAAAAGGGATGCCATCTGGTTCCTTTTTTGCAACTTGTGTGAATTCTGCTCCAAATAAGTTTATTTTCCCCACAAGTTTCTGATGACCACAGATGATGACTAAATTTTCCAAACACTTCCGGTGACAAACAAGGAGGCACTATAAAAAAAATAATAGTTTAGAACTGATTTATTCACCTTAAAGCTATTCACCAACTAGGAAAATTACAGGTAGGGTGGTAACATAACAAAAATGAGTTTAAAAGGTATTTGCATTGTTTGAAATACATTTGCCAACAGCTAAACCAAATAAAAAACGATGGTGTGTAAACTGTGGTGCAATTTATTAAAAGCTTATTTGCAAAAGATTCTAATCAGTAAAATAACAAAAAAGTATAAAACAAAATACATAAAGAGGCTATCACAATTCCAGAATGGTCTTACCTCTTCACATTCAACACCTTGGAATACTACAATGCTGTCACAATCTCTACACTTTGTCGGGGATCTCAATTTGCGAAACTTATGAGTGAGAGCTGCTTTTGACATCAATGTTTTCTTAAATGTTCCAAGAGAACTAGGTCCTTAAAAAAGAAATATGTTAGTATACAAAGACTGTAAGGCACCAGAAAAATTACTCTATATGATGAAGACTATATTTTGAATAACCTTTAGACTTTAAAATAATTCATATATTACAAAAAATTATTAATTTGAGTTTCTAATAACTATGAGCTAAATCACCACCAAATCATTAAGATACTGCTAAAAGAGCATGTCATAATGGTTGCAGAACTGGTAAATTTACACTGTTAATGATATGCCCTTTATAGGTTTGGGAAGGGTGTTATATAGGTTGCATTATATTCACAGAAAATGCTTCAAAGAAAAATAGCTGTATGAGGTTAGTATTACTTGCACTAAAGATAAAGCTATTTAGCTAGACATACACCAATATCCTATGAGAAGTAAGATATTCCACTCTTTTATGAAATGATGCCAAAATAGTTGTCTGGAAGTCTCAAATCCACAAAATAAATTTATATACATCTAACTCAAGTCATTAAGTAATGGAATAACTGAATATACTTCAATCTCCACAACTTTCTGTGTCCTTAAGAAGTACACTTATTTACACTTCCTGCCTAACTTTGTACACTGTTTCTTAATAAGAGTCTTTAGAACTTCCTCTGTATCACAATCCTTTTATAACAGTAAGCTACTGTGTTCGTTTTATAAAAGAGGAAAATATCTAGGCTGCTATTTTAGCACCATGCCAATTCATTTTAGATCTAGTAGCTATGCTACTTATTCTTATATTTGTATTTGTGGTATTTGATTAAGACATTTGTTGTTATTAGGTGCCACTGAGTCATTTTTTGACTCATAGCAACCCCATCTGACAGCATAGAACTGACCTATGGGGTTTTCTTGGCTATCAATTTCATGGGAGCAGAGCACCAGGTCTTTCTCCTCTGGAGCCACTGGGTAGGTTTACACTCTAATCTTTTTATCAACCCGTATTTGTACATAATTGTTGAGATATATTTGAGTAATTATGATGCTTTTTGTATATTACACAGGATTGATTCTTCAGATTACACCATTTTCCTAATATCATGCAGTATTACTGATTCAAGTGGTTTAGTGGGAATTTGATTCATGTAACTACCATACCAGCTTCTGAAGGGGATGGTGGTTCTCTCTCATCTAGATCATCTGCAGAAGACATGGTCCCACTAGATGGAGTTCGTGGAAGTTTTCGATGAAAGTCTCCTAAGAAAATTATGGACACAATTACCTGATCATTCACTGTAGAATAGAAATAAGTAGTGACAACCATTTTGGAATAATATAATTCATGTAATTTTATTAGCTTAAATATAAAAATTTGCTTTTATTCTCAGACTTTAGATAGAATCTGATGCTTATTCCTGGAAACAAAAAGGAATTAAACCAAATCTATCCTAATGAGGGTTATCTACCCATATGAGACTGTACCGCCAACTTCTCGCAGTGAAGCATTAGGTTGTAAGCTCCATAAAGACAAGGAATACTTTCTATGCGTATCTTATTTCTATCATCTAACAAAGAGGCTGCCCAACGGTAAAATTCTCATGACATGTTTGCTGAATTATTGTTGTTGTTGTTAGGTGCCATCAAGTTGTCTCTGACTCATAGTGACCTTATGTGCAACATAACAAAGCATCACCTGGTCCTGCACCCGCCTCACAATCCCTACTATACCTGAGCCCATTGCTGTACCCACTCTGTTAATCCATCTTGTTGAGGGCCTTCCCATTTTTCATTGACCCTCCACTTTACCAAGCATGATATCCTTTTCCAGGGAATGGTCCCTTCTAACAACATGACCAAAGTAGGTGAGACCAAGTGGCCATTCTCACTTCCAAGGAGCATTTTGGCTGTATTTCTTCCAGGATAGATTTGCTAGTTCTTTTAGCAGTCCATGGTACTTTCAGCATTCTTCCCCAACACCACAACCCAAAAACATCAACTCTTCTTCAGTCTTCCTTATTCATTGTCCATCTCTCACATGCACATGAGGCAACTGAAAATACCATGGCTTAGGTTTTTGTTGTTGTTGTTATGTGCCGTCAAGTCGGCTTAGGTTAGGCACATCTTAATCTTCAAGGAGATTTTTGCTCTTTAGCACTTGAAAGAGGTCTTTTGCAACAAATCTGTCCAATGTAGTATCTCTTTTGTGTCCTGAGTGCTGCTTCCATTGGCGTTGATTACAAAACCAAGTAACATGAAGTCTTTGACAACTTCAAACTTTTCTCCACTTATTGTGATACTGCTTATTGGTCCAGTTGTGACGATTTTTGTTTTCTTTATATTGAGGTGTAATCCACACTGCATAGTGGCTAAGACACTTGCCTGCTAACCAGACAGCTGGCGGTTCAAACCCACCAGCCACTCCTCGGAAGGAAGGTTGGGCAATCCTACTTCCGTAGTGATACTGCCTCGGAAACCCAAGGAGGGGTCGCTATGAGTCGGGGCTGACTCGACGGCACATAACAACAACAACAACAACAATCCACACTGCAGACTGTAGTCTTTAATCTTTATCAGTAAGTGCTCCAAGTCATCCTCACTTTCAGCAAGCAAAGTTGTGTCATCTGCATATCTCAGATTGTTAGTAAGCCTTCCTCCAATCCTGATGCCACGTTTTTCTTCATACAGTCCAGCTTCTCGGATTACCTTCTCAGCATACAGATTGAGTAAGTGTGGTGAAAAGATACAACTCTGATGCATTCCCTTCCTGATTTCAAACCATGCAGTATCCTCTCGTTCTGTTTGAACAACAGCCTCCTAAACTATGTACAGGTTCTTCAGGAGTACAATGAAGTGTTCTGGAATTCCTGTTCTTCTCAATGTTGTCCAAAATTTGTTATGATTCACATAAATGAATGCCTTTGCATAGTCAATAAAACACAAGTAAACATCTTTCTGGTATTCTTTGCTTTCAGCCAAGATCCATGTGACATCATCAGCTATGATATCCCTCGCTCCACGTTCCCTTCTGAATCCAGCTTGCATTTCTCAAAGTTCTCTGTCAATATACTGCTGCAACCATTTTTGAATTATTTTCAGTAAGACTGTACTTGCACTGTGCTATCAATGACACTGTTTGGTAATTTCCACATTCTGTGGGGTCACCTTTCTTTGGAATGGGTACAAATACGGATTTCTTCCAGTCAGTTGACTAGGTACCTGTCTTCTAAATTTCATCACATAGCCAAGTGAGTACCTTCAGAGAGGCATACGTTTGTTTAAACATCTCAATGGGTATCCCATCAATTTCCTAAGCCTTGTTTTTCACCAATTCCTTCAGTGCATCTTCAACTTCTTCCTTCAATACCATTGATTCTTGATATATATCACCTCCTGAAATGGATGATTATCTACCAATTGTTTTTGGCATAGTGATTCTGTGTATTCCATCCATCTTCTTTTGCTGTTTCCTGCATCATTCAAAATGTTGCCCACAGAACCTTTCAATATTGCAATTCGAGGCTTAAATTTTTCCCTCATTTCTTTCAGCTTGAGAAATGCCAAGAGTGTTCTTCCCTTTTGGTTTTCTAACTCCAGGTTTTTACGCATTTCATTATAATAACTGACCTTGTCTTCTTGAGCTGCTCTTTGAAATCTTCTGTTCAGCTCTTTTATCTTGTCATTTCTTTCATTTGCTTTCGCTACTCTCTGATCAAAGGCAAGTTTCAGGCTCTTCTGACATACATTTTGGTCTTTTCTTCTTTTTCTGTCTTTTTAATGACTTTTTACTTTCTTCATGGATGTCATCCCAGAATTATTCTGGTTTTCAGTCATGTGTTCAATGCATCAAATCTATTCTTTAGATGGTCTCTAAATTCAAGAGGGATATAATCAAGGTCATATTTTGGCTCTTTGAACTTCTTTTAATTGTCTTCAACTTCAACTTCAACTTGCATATGAGCAGTTGATGGCCTGTTTCACAGTCAGCTCCTGGCTTTGTTCTGGCTGAAGATATTGAGCTTCTCCATTGCCTCTTGCCACAGATGTACTCAATCTGATTCCTGTGTACTCCATCTGGTAAAGTCCATGTGTATAGCCACAGTCTATGTTGTTTAAAAAATATATCTGCAATGAGTAAGTCACTAGTCTTGCAAAATTCTATCATGCGATTTCTGGCATCATTTCTATCACCAAGGCCTTATTTTCCAACTATCGGTGATAGTTCTTTGTTTCCAACTTGTGCATTCCAATCACCAGTGATAATTAACACATCTTGATTGCATGTTTGGTCAATTTCAGACTGCAGAAGTTGGTAAAAGTCTTCAATTTTCTCATCTTTGGCTTCAGTGGTTGGTATGTAAATTTGAATAATTGTAGTATTAACTGGTCTTCCTTTTAGGCATATGGATATTATCCTACCACTGACAGCACTGTACTTCAGGATAGATCTTGATACATTCTTTGTGATGATGAATGGCATGCCATTCTTATTCAATTTTTCATTCCCAGCATAGTAGATCAAATGATTGTTTGATTCAGAATGGCCAAAATCAGTCTATTTTAGCTCACTAATGCCTTGGATATCAATCTTTATGCAAAACGATTATTATGCAAAACTGCAAAAATCAGTCCATTTCAGCTCACTAACTCCTAGGATATTGATCTTTACGCATTCCATTTCATTTCTGACAACTTCCAATTTTCCTAGATTTATACTTCGTACGTTCCATGTTCCAATTATAAATGGATGTTTGCAACTGTTTCTCCTCATCTTGAGACATGCCACATCAGCAAATGGGAGTCCTTCAGCTTTACTTTATCCACACCATCAAGGTCAGCTCTACTCTGAGGAGACAGCTCTTCTCCAGTAGTGTTTTGAGTGCCTTCCAACCTGAGGAAGGTTTTTTCCCCAGAACTGTATTGGACAGTGTTTCAGGGCTATTCATAAAATTTTCCAGCAATATATCAGACAGCATTTCACTGCTATTCATCAGGTTTTCACTGACCAATTCTTTGAGAAGCAGGTGGCCTCTTCCTTCTTCCAAGTCTGTTTTAGTCTGGAAGCTCCACCAAAACCTGTCCACCATGGGTAACCCTGCTGGCACTTGAAACACCAGTGGCATAGCCTCCAGCCTCACAGTAACACTCAAGCCACCACAGTATGACAAACTGACATTGAATTAAGTTATATAAATAAGTGTATAGAGCATAACCTAAAGTTTCTAGCATATATATATATATATATATTTGAACACAGCAATACAATAGCAACAGCACAGTTATGTTATTGTAAAACAGGATAGCTGAAACCAAGACTAGCCTGACAATCCCTGGCAGGGTGCTGAGACCAAACACAAGATGAAAAGTGTGCCAGCAAAGAACACTGCCCTCTGTGTGAAAGCCTGCCCACCAGCTGCTCTGAGGAAGGAAGATAGGGCAATCTACTTTCATAAGAGATTTACAGCCTCGGAAACTCAACTGGGGTGACTATGAGTCAGAATCGACTCAATGCTAATGAATTTGGTTTGGTTTTTGAGAATCATTTACAAATGATTGAAATTAATACCCTATGCCCAAAAGAAATCCTCTTCATAGTATGCTTTAGAAGTGGTCATTCAGTTTTTGCTTTGAACGTGTCCCCAATGGCTGAGAAATGCTAGGCAGCACATTCCATTTCAGAGTTATTCTAATTGTGAAATGGCTTCCTTACAGTGAGTGGAAATCTGCCTTCTCTATCAACCCCAGCCTTTGGGTATTTCTCCCCAAAGGAGCAAAGAAGCACTCTAATTCCAGTCCTTTTCCACTTTAATATTTAAAGCCAGTGTCTTACCTCCAATTTCCTCTTTCCCAGGCTAGGCTTCCCATGCTTAAGCTCATTTAGCATGAGACTCGGTTTCTAGATTCTGGCTGTTTTCTACCCTGTTCAACTCCACCCTCACCTTTCCCAAACCCACATTTTAAACAGACTATTAAATTATGTTGACAATAGCTCCTAAACATTTCTTGAATAGGTTCCTCCATCCTCACTGCCAAAAGGTGTAGGTTTACATTGTTCTTAAATTATACATGGTAAACCAATGATGACTTCAACATTACAAGGAAGTCTGAGGACACTGGGGAAACCCTGAAGAGCTCTGGGGACATTATTTTATAAGGAGCCTTGTCAAACAATAAGGAGCTCTGGTGGTGTAGCACCTAAGACATCTATCTGACCGCTAAGCAGAAGGTTGGCAGTTCAAATCCACCAGCCACTCCAATGGAAGGAAGACTGGGCAATCTACTTCCGTAAAGATTTACCACCTTGGAAACCCAAAGGGGTTTGCTATGAGTAGGAATCAACTCGATGGCAGTGAGTTTGCTTTTGGTTTTTGGTGTCAAACAATACTTCAACCCAAATAGATTTTTATGATTTGAAAAATCCTCTTCACTAGTAAGCTTAGCCTAGAAGATAGGAACAGAGTAAGGAAAGAAAAAATCCCTATTCAATGCATAACTGAAAGAATTTGTAAGTTTTACAAGATTCCAAATAATCTAGGACTTGACTGAGACTGAATCTTAATTACAGAGCTATCTGGAAACACTTTATTTTCACAAGAGTATTTACAAATATTCAGTTAAAGTTCTCTATGTTCACATCTTCAGGGTGTCCTTTGAACAGCACTAATTGTAAAGGATATAGCAAAGTAGCTATTGACAATCAGCATACAAATTCCAGTGCTTCATGAAAGGTTTTTCTAACTTTAAACTCAAGGGATTTATGTAAATGAATACAACTTCTGTAATATGTAGAATGCTAAAAAAAGGGCCTTGGAGTTTGAGGTCAGTTAAATGAAAATCTCCCATAGTGCTGAGCCCATAGGAGGAAGGAATACAGCCAGGAAGAACAGGACTAGAGCAGTCTTCAGTATGAGACTGGAGAAGGAATGTCACAGACAGATATAAGTTAGAGCAAAGAGACATGCCTTCTGGTGCTACCTTCTTCTGGCTATATGATCTAGGGCAAATCACCCTCTTTCTCTCCCCTAACCGGGAGTTCACAACACTTCCTCTGCCTCTCTGAGGATGATGAGACAGTTTATGTCAAAGTACCTTAAAGCATGTTTGTAAAAAAGTAATAAGAATAAGCAATGACAGGCACAAGAATTTGTGTAATGGTACTGTTCACTACAGAAAATAAAGAAGAAATCACCCACTGTCTAACAAAAATTAAGACAGATAATACCAGTTTTGATCATAGAACAGAAAACTATACAGCAATAAAAATAAATATGGTTATCACCATCAACATGGATTCCCGCTCCCAAAAAATGGGTAACATTCAAAAGAGGGCAAAATTCAACTATATATTGGTAATAAAAACAAAGAAAAGATAGGGAATGATTAACAGAATTCAGGATGATGACTTCTGGTTTCTTACGACAGTATTATCAAGGAGATATACATAGGGGGCTTCTAAGAAACTGGTAATATTGTATTTCCTAAGCTGAGCAGTGAGTATATGAAGGTTTATTTTATTATTTTTCTTTAAATTATATACTTTGTTGTATTTATGCAATAGTTCATGATACAGACAGTTAAAAATACAAAAGAAAAAAAAAAAGGAGTAACATTTTAATCTTTCATTGCCTTAAATATTTCTGTACCTGGACTTATAGATTCTGAATCCAGGGATCTAGATTCACTGCTCCCACCAGTACTCTCAGAGTCACTAAACATCCCAAATGTCCATGACCTTATAAAAGAAGGACCTTTAAAAGAAAAACATATTGAAAGTCAAACTTGGCTCCAGGTAGATTTCATAATGCAAAATACTGAAATTACATAAAACAAGACAGTCAATTTTTTTTTTTTTTTTTTTAACTATTCCTATTATCCACTATGGGAGCCCTGGTAGCATAGTGCCTAAGGCACTTGACTACTAAGCAGAAAGCTGGTGGTTCAAACCCACCAGCCACTCCTTGGAAGGAAGGTTGGGCAATCTACTTCCGTAGTGATACTGCCTCAAAAACCCAAGGAGGGGTCACTATGAGTCGGGTCCGACTCAACAGCACATAACAACAACAACATTATCCACTATAAGAAAGTGCTTACAACTTTAAACAATTTGATCTTCCAAAAATCAGCCCTCTCTTTAATATGAAAAGCTACCTGTTATATCTGCACTGTTAGAACATCTGTCCTCTTCAATTTTATTAGAGCTGTCAGGGAGGCGCACAACATCTTCTAAAGAGTCAGCAGGTCCATATCCAGAGGTTTGGGGACTATTTGTTAATTGTTTATTTATATTCCTAAGAAAGTCCAAATAAACGCATCACTAAGAAGAATGACTAATAATCCATCTATTTTATTTTGCTTTTGGAAAAATCTATTAATTTAATGAATGTAGGTAGAAAAATTAAATTAACAAAATATTCATTAAAAACAAACTATACTGTATGGTTCAACTTCTTACAGGAAACATAAATAAAGTCTTATTGTATCTACTATAACTAAAACATGAAAAGGTACAGTACAAGTAGTTAATAATTTGTGTCATATTTAAACTTTTCAATATAATCTCTGCAGAAAATAAAATGTAGGTTAAATCTTGTAAACATTCAGAAAACATTTGGCCATGATTTGACTTTTCTTTTTTTAAAAGGATTTTTGAATCTCAAAAAACTAGGTCTGTATCAAAAGGGAAAGTTTTACTCTAACATGAGTTATATTCAGAAAAATTTTAAAGTCAATTTAGCCAATGTTAGAAAAGATACTTCCTTCTACTGAACAGGAGCTTAGCAATGAATGATTTTATCTCTTGTAACAATTTCAGCTATATATTAATCCTTACCCATCAACTTTTTCTTCTTCAGTTGAGTTTGTAGCCTTGACAAATTCACTGTACTCTTGGCCTGGGTCATAGAGTTTGGCACTGTCACAGAGAGACTGTAGATTATTTGCAAGGGAGGCAGCCTGCAGTTGCTGCATATGGAAAAGGTTAACTGTTACCTATGGTCACAAACAGACAAAAGGCAGAATAACTCACGATGTACAGAACATGATGTAAACATACAAGTACTTCAAGAAACAGTACCAAAAAAAGCCACACAGTGAACCATACAACACTGATATCACTGTGTACCTACTATACAGCCGGACTGTGTAAAAGGTCTATTTTAGGGAAGAAAAAGATACAGTAGTTTCAATATAATATTCAGGATAAATCATTTCCAGCAAAACTGGCTTTAAATTGAAAACTTAAAAAATACAAGCATATTTCCCTATTGGCTCATCATTTTAGGAGATGGACATGTTTTTGAAAATCCAAATGGAGTACCAAAAAACCAAACCCACTGCCACTGAATTGATTCCTACTCATAGTGATCCCCACTGGGTTTCTGAGGCCGTAAATCTATCAAAGTAGATTGCCCTGTCTTCCTTCCATGAAGTGGCTGGTGGGTTTGAACCGCCAACCTTCTGGTTAGCTTAGTAGTCAAATGCCTTAGGGACTGTGCCACGATAGTAGGCACTACTATTTCATAAAGATACTGAGGTCCAGGGAGAGTCAGGATCTTGTTTCATGTCACAGCATATGGCTGGTCAGTGGCAGTACTTGGGTGTAAAGTCAAGCAGTTTGGGTCCACAGCCCTTACCATTATGACAATAAGCATCTAAAAGATAAATACCCAATGAGTTAAAGGCCCTAATCAAAATAAGGAGAGCATAAAGCAATTAAGAGCAAATACAGGAAAATGTTTTTAATAATCTTGGAATGGGGAGTCCCTGATTGAGAAAGGCACTGAATCAAAGAGTCATGAAGAAAAATATTAACAGCTTTGACTACACAAAACTCAATAATTTCATAAGATAAAAAAAGCCATGTTGTTGTTGTTGTTATGTGCCGTCAAGTCGGACCCTCCAAGTGACTCCTCCTTGGGTTTCCAAGGCAGTATCACTACGGAAGTAGGTTGCCCCATCTTCCTTCCGAGGAGTGGCTGGTGGGTTTGAACTGCCAGCCTTCTGGTTAGCATTCAAGTGCCTTAGGCACTATGCTACCAGAGATTCCAAAAAAAGGCCAAATTTTCTTAAAAATCGATAGAAAGGAAAAAGTACTTATAACATACACACTAAACAAATATTACCCTAACAGGCAAGTAGCTCCTATAACTCATTCATTTAATTTCAAATATTTGAGTGCCTATCTAGATTAACAATTATTCTAGGCTTTGAGAATATGACTGGAGGAAAAAAAGAGGAAAATCCCCCAGCCCTTAAGGAGTTCTCCTTAAGGTAGTGTTGGAAAGATGTAAGAAATCAACTGAACAAATAAGATGAATTCTGGTACTGAAAACTGCTATGAGTAATAAATAAGAATATCAAGTGATATTATACAATGTAACCATGTGTGTGTTTGTGGAAGGGTACTTTTGACACTATTAGCTAGGGAAGAACTCTGACAAGGTTAACATTTGAACTGAAACCTAATTTAAGAAATAGACAGTGTAAAACTTCAGGACAATGACCAATCCAGACAGAAGGAAAAGGTAGTACACAAAGGTCCCAGTGCAAATTGAATGGGGAAGAGCATGTTCTGCTCCAGAAACAGATGAAAGGTCGATAGGGCCAAAGCAAATTCAAAGAGGTAGAGCTTCAGTTTGAGATGCAGCCAGAGAGAACAGTCATTTAAACTATCACAAAGAGTCTGGACTTAAGTGCCATGGCAAGATGATGAAGGAGTTTAAGCAAGGTTGTAGCATAATCTGATTTATATTTTTTAAATGACACTCTGCATACTGTGTGGGGAATGAATTAATGGAACCAATGAGCCAATAGGCATGAATGCCAAGTTCTGATTAGCTTAATGTTACTTCCAATACTGCCATGTTTCTCTTCATCTCTCTGGATATACCAGATGAAATGCTGGGACTCCGGATGAGCCTCTGAGTCTATTCCAAGGTAGACAGGCATTTCCCCAAGGCAAACTGACTCAGCACAAACAGTATTTGAAAAGTGCATTGCAGTGTAGTAAATTACTTTTTGTGGCTTTTCTACCCATAAGTCTTTGTAAACTCCAAGATGGGATTTGCTATGAGCAACTGAGGAGCTCCTGATTGCTGAAGGTGTCCACCTGGAGTATTTCTGTTGGGAGTGGCACAAAACAATGTTCTGGGAGGTGCCCACTCTCTCTCAGGTGCTTAGAGTTCTGATGCTATAATTGGCTAGTTTGACCACCCTGCCGGGCTCAAAAGGAGGCCTCCTGGAAGCAGAACTCTCTCTGACTGCTGGTGGAGGAAGATGTGCTGCTGAAAGAGACACGCACCCCTGAAAGAGACACGTACTGCTGGGAAAGAGATGCAAGAGACACGCATTGTTGAGTGAGACACCGAGGGACCAGCACTGCTGGGAAAGAGACTGTGAGAGACTGTTGGCTGAGGGACGGTGGATTGGGAGAGAGACTGAGCGTTCTTCCTGAACTTGAGTTGTAGCCTGGTGCTTCCCTAATAAACCCCGTAATCCGTGAGTTCTGTGTGGCCACTGCAATGAATTATCGAACCCAGGAGAGAGGTGGTGGTGCTTTGGGAGGAACAGTTGGTGAAAGGGCTGGAGGGAGGCAGCATGTCTGGCCTTGCAGTAATAGGCCTTGGGCTATTGTTGGTGATTTTGCCTTCCTCTTGTGGGGTTCTAGGAGGTCAGAATATGTGGCCTCCTTGCCGTTTTTGCATGCATACAACAGAAGGAGTTGTGTTCTAACTCCTTTAAGAAACAAAAGAAATTCAAACTTCCAATGTTACAGCATAATTCCAGCAACTGACTTAATCCATGATTAAGTGAATTTACTCTCTTGATCCTAAAGCTAACTGTAAATTTTAATATTTTTAAATAAACTTAATAATTCTAGTAAAAAAACCCAACTATTTTAAAAAGCCAAATGAATAACTGGCAAAATCTACTCATTTGCTGAATATGTTTGTTTCTGGTTATTAATAATAGAGACTTTAACAATGATATAAACTGATATCCCAATCTTAAAACCCACCTTCCCAAAATTATTCAGGCTTTTCCTCTACCTTCACAGAATTAAAGAGTGATGAGTACATATCACAAATCCTGCAGAACTGCCTGCTAGGCTTATCTTACTGAGGTGAACCACCGCAATGGTACCTCAAAAGACATCATGCCTTCAGATCTCTTTTTTTCCCAATCTACTCCTTAAAGTTGGAACTTAATCCTTTCCTCCTAGGTCCCCAATGTGTAGCACAATATCTTAAGTGCTTGATAATTAAAAATGACCAAAATGAATAGTAGTGGAATGTGTCATTTCCCAAAGTCACACTGTAATTTTGCATATTTTCTAGTATTGCCCACTCAAGCACACAGGACCTTCCACTATTTGCAGTTTTTCATTATCTACATCTAATTTTTAGTTACTCCATGAAATATTCAAACAGTTGTGGAAATAGAATTTTCAATAAATATCTGATCAATGAGAAAAGTTTCTGCCATATAATTTAGCATTAATTAAAATCATTACTCAACTATGTACTTTTTATAAGAAGTTCACTTTAAATAAAATGATAAAGTTACATCACAAGTGAAAGAATGGAAAAAGATATACTAAAAATAATCAAAAGAAAATTGAAGTTGCTGTATCAATATTCCCACCAGCCACTCCTCAGAAGGAAGGATGGGCAATCTACTTCCATAGTGATATTGCCTCGGAAACCCAAGAAGGGGTCGCTATGCGTCAGATACGACTAGACGGCACATAACAACAACATATCAATATTAAATAAAGGAGACTACAGTGCAAGGAAAATTATCAGGACAAAGAGGGATATTTCCTAAGGACAAGTGAATCAACTCACCAAAAAGATATAACCACCATTAATTTATAAGCAGCTAAGAAAGATCTTCTAAATACATAAAGCAAAAACTGATAGAACTACAATTCAAAATTTCTGTTTGACATTTCAACACTACTTTCTCAGTAATTCATAGAAGAAAAAAAAGTAAATCAGCAAGGATATAGAAGTGAACATCATAAACCAGCAGGAAGTAATTGACATTTATAGAACACACAGTCAACAACAGCAGAATACACACTCTTTTTAAGTGTACATGGAATATTGATCAAGGCAGACCACATTCTGATTCATAAAACAAATCATAACATATTTTTTAAACTGGAAGTTACATAAAATATTTACTGCATCATAAGATAATTAAACCAGAAATCAAAGATCAGAAAGATATGTAGAAAATTCTCAAATAGTTGGAAATTAAACTATATATATATAAAATTACCCATGGGTCAAAGATGAAGTCTCAAGTGCAACAGGAAAATCTTTTGAATTGAACAAAAATGAAAGCACAACATTTCAAAATTTATGAGATGCAGATAAGCTGTGCTCAGAAGGAAATTTAATGTATTATCTATATAGCAGAGCAGGTCTCAATGAACAACCTAAGCTTCTACCTTAAGAAACTAAAAAAATAGGGAGAAAGACTGTACAGACCCTATTCAACACAGAAAAGGGGAACCAATTAACACAGACACAGAAGATAATCCTGGACCCCTGAGCCTTGAAGGGAAGGATACAGAAGTGGACTAAACCCCAACTAGCAGAAGAATTTTCATGAAAATACCAAATAAGGAGACATACGGAGCTGTGGTCTGGCAGCGATACTGAGCAATTCTGACGGGACAGCACAGACAGCTTGGAGAATGCCAAGTTTGGTAGAACCTAAGAATTAGCCTAAAAATCAGCCCTGCTAGCCAGGGACTGCACAGAGGACTGCTCTGGTGGCTGGTGAATAAAAGGAGAAGCAGTGAAGAGGAGGGTGGGGGGTGGGCTGAGCTGTGGACTTCTGCCTGTTCGGAGGGCACAGCCATTTTGAATGTTTACAAGTGGCTTGATCATGTTGGATATTTAAAGAGACAGCGCTCTTCCAGATTCCAGGGGCTTAAGAACAGATTCTGCTTGCCAGTAACCCCAAGGACACTCCAG